AGAAGGAAATTTGTATTCTGACTCACAGTTTCAGGGAGATGTCAGCCCATCATAGCAGGGGGAGCACGGCCCCTGGTGCTTGTTCACATGATTGTAAGTAAGAAAGGTAGCGAGCTCCCGTGGACTGTCTTTAAAGTCTACCCCTGGTGATGTACTCCACTCACTAGAAGCTCTTCAGTCTTCAGAATAGTGCCACAGGCCTCAGAGCAACATTTATACATGGGGATATGTCAAAGTCAAGCCATAAGATTGAAGTCTTTGTAGCTGTTTTTCTTCCCTTCCCTTCCTTTCATTGAAAATAGATTTTTTTTTCTCACATATAACCTGACTCTTCCCAATTCCTCTTCACCTCCATCTGGATCTACTTCCTTTCTGTCTCTCAATCTGAAAATACACAGGCTTCTAAGAGATAATAAGATAAAAGAAAAGTTAACACACTGTAATTGGACAAAGCAAACAGAAGGAAAAGAACCCAATAGGAAGAACAAGGAACAGCCCTACTTGTTCACACTCTGGAAACCCATAGAAACCCTGAATTTCCTGGCAGCCATAATATATACTCAAAGGACCTGGTGCAGACCTGTGTGATCACTATACACTCTGTGTTTCTAGTAGATGGCCAGTAGGATGAAACTAATGGTTAGGACATACAGAAAATAGACCAGTATTACTGGTTTATGGATGGAGGGAAGGGATATCAAAAATATACAGAATCTTATTTTACTATTGTGATTTATAATTTTGTTCATGTGTTAAGTGCTGTTTGTCATGGAATTACAGAGGCAAATATAATAGATGTTATTTCTAAGGAGCCAAGACATATTTGAGCTAATAATTATTTGTTTGGGTTGCTAGTGTTGTGATACTGAAAAGTTGTAGAAGTGGTGTTTTCCAAGGTGGATTTTTGTGCTGATTAAGTTTTTGTCAACTTGACGCAAACCAGGGCCATCTGGGAAGAGGGAACTTCAACTGAGAAAATGCCCTTGCCATACTGACCTGTTAGACAAGCCTCCGGGTCATTTCCCTGATTAATGATTGATGTGGGAGGGCCCCGCCCACTGTGAATGGAGCCACTTCTGGGTAGGTAGTTCTGAGTTATTGACTTAGTTGAAGAGGCCAGTTATAGAAAGTCTCACCTTGTCATTTGTCTTATAGATTCAGAATTAACTTTATCCAGAGTTCTACAGAGGTGATGAATGTTTCTTACTGCTTAAATTAAGAAACAAATGCTAGCTAAATTGTTCTGACTTAGTGGTAATGACATTTGTTCAATTGGCTAAGGTGACAATGACTATGTCTCACCATTTATAATGAGTAAGCAGCCTGTCCTGTGAGCCACCCATTTTCACTCCTTAATTTTAATACTGGGTATAGTGATCTTTTACTAAGTTGCAGTGAAGTTTTGCAAAATGACCATTCCTAATTGTCATTTTTTTGTGCTTATGCAAATGGAACTGTAAAAATAATTACCTATTTTTCTGTCTAGTATTTGCTTTAGACTGGCTTTCCCCTCCCATATCCAGTATGTTATGTCTTTAAGAAAGTTTCTGTTAGCTTCAATGTGCTTCCTGGCATTAAAAATAAATCTCTTAACTTGCCTAGTGGTTTGCATGTCACAGATTTGAAATCAACCATTTCTTCAGGAAGCAGTGGTAGCATTTATAATGGTGGAATAAATAAACAGTGTTTGAACTTATGAATTAAGTTTAGAAGTGAAAGTCAACCAAGTAGTGGGTGGGTTCACCAGATGATACAGACAGATAAGGAACAGCATCAGATGTTTGATCATTTACAAAATTTTAAGCAGGCTCTCAGAAGATTGTTCAGTGGGTTAGGAATTAAAAGTACTTGTGTGGGCATAAGGGCCTGAGTTTGACTCAACATCCATAGCAAACGTTGTTCAAGGCTGCACATGCCTGTAACCCCAGAACTGTGGTGGGGCAGAGACAGGAACAGTCCCTGGGGCTTGCTCACTGCCAGCCTAGCTCTGGGATCAGTGAGTGAGAACTTACCTTAACAAGGTGGAGAGCGATGCAACAGAACACCTAATGACCTGGGCACATGCCCATGTACACTCCCACCCACGGTCACATGTGTACCCCATACACCAAAGAAAATTTTAATTTCAAAATATGAAGTGTAAAAGTGGGAGCTAATTAAAAAAATAAGATCTTATGGGTCATTATTCATTCTATAGTTTCCACACTAGAGGAGTGGGTGTAAGTAAGACATGAGACAAGACTGAAGGAGCCATGAGTAGATTTGAATATTAAAATTTTCTTTTTGGGGGGGTATTTTCAGTGCATGATTTTTTCTATGTAGCTGAAGCTGGCTTGGAATTCATGAGCCTCTGCTTCTGCTTTAGTGCTGAGATTACAGGTAGGGGGTGTGTGTGTGTATGTGTGTATGTGTATGTGTGTATGGGCTACCTCACCTAAAAAATTCATTTTACTTTAAAACAAATGTGTTAACCTGTAAAAATATGTTAGTCAGGTTTATAGTGGTTGTTTAAGCCTAAGTAGATGTTTGGGGGCATATATTTTTGTTTCTGGGATAGTTTGGTGTCACTGAAATGGAAAAAGGGGGGCATTAAAGTGGCACCCACTAGGAGGCTAAATTTTCATAAGGATCTGGAAGTGATGGTGTGAATGTTTGGGAATTTTGTTGAGTTTCTTAAAATATTTTTTGATATTATAATACATCATTTCCCCATTTTCTTTCTCTCCTGTAATCCTTCCCTTCCCCGCTGTCTTTTACATTCATGGCCTCATTTTCTCTGGTGGTGATGGTGGTGGCGGCAGTGCTGTTGTATACCAGTTAGGGCTGGACAGGGTCACCTGTTGACTGCATTTTGATCAGTTGTATAATAGTCTTCATCTGTTGAAAAGAAAAAATTTTCGTGATGAGGAGTGAGAACTTACCAATGGGCACATGAGAATATTTAGAATGTAGTTGGGGATTGTGCTGGCTTTGTAAAGTGGTAGCTATAGGTTCTCCTCCAAGATCTGTGACCTCACTAGCCCTGGGTAGTTGGATAAACTTGCAGTACTCCCATCCCCATCCTCGGTTCAGCAAGCCTTAAGTCCAATTAAGTGTTTGGTTTACCATCAAACTCTGCATGCTGCCACTGCAACCGTAGGGTTATGGTATCATGCTGATCATCATTGTGTTTCATAGGCACATAGCTGGGTAGGACTATTGGTTGCTTCCTTTCTTTGGAAGCGTGCATGGTGCCTTCTGGTACCATAAAATACAGTCTTCAGGCAGGAAGTGGAGGCTTTCAGGTCTCATCCAGTTCAAGTCCTCTGGTCCATGTGTCCCAAATACATGTTGTCTTCAGGAGTAGGGACTTCCCTTGTCTGGTGTGAATGTTTGTTCTAGATTAAAGGTAATAGAAATAAAATATCAACTTTAGAATTACTTTAGGGGCTAAATAAGCAGAATTTGATTTATGTATACAAAAGAAATTTTAGGATGATCCCTTTGCTTTTCCTTCTTTAGTACAGTAAGTTGGATTTGTGTCTGGAGTCAGTTATATGTCAAAGATATAAAGGATAGTTCAGCAGTGGAGATGTATTTGGAAATCAACAATGTATTGCTGAATTGTATTCAAGGATGCACTAAACTAGAGAATGGATCAGTGATGCAGTTCTTCAGGCAGGCATTCCTTTATTCCTAGAAAGGAATAAAGAAAAGGAAATTTGGAGGTAACTGACACTGCATGCCTCTTACTTTCTGAAATACAAGTACCAACTAAATACTTGGTTGTAGTAAAGCTAATTGATTAGTCCTTTGCTTAACTATTGAGTTGTTTTAAAGCTTCTGTGCTTAGTATTATTTTATCAATAGATACTTATTTTTGTAAGTGTGTGTATGCATACATATATGTGGATATGTGTATACATGTGTGCAGAGACCCGAATTGAATGTCAGCAGTCTTTCTCTATCCTTCTTAACTCCATCAACTCTCACTGAAGCAGGCACTCACGGATCCTTTTTCCATTACAGGCACCTGCCACTGTGGGTACTGGGAATCTGAACCCAGTTTCTTATGCGTGCATGCTTTACTGAGCAATCTCTCCAACCCCTCAGTAGATATTAACCCTCTACAAGAATGTCTAGAGATATTTACACAGGTGTGTTTCTGGTTCTGAGTGAAGCTGCAATCTAAGTCTGTCCTTTAAAGCCAAAAGAAGGAGGAAAAAGGAAAAAAAAAAAAAAAACACTAAGTAAAGCAGCAGCACTCACCCTTGTGCATATTTACGTTTTTCCTTCTGTTAAAAGACAAGTGGGGCTTCCTCTGCAGTTGGGCTATGGAGACAGGAAGATCAATAATGTACGGCCATCGTCTCCAACACCAGTCTTGATTTGCATGAGATTCTGTCTTGAGAAACAAATGGCAAGAAACTTCTAAATTTTATATTGCTTTTTATTTGCCAAATTTTAGTGGTGGCTTATTTTGTACAGTGTCTTTTAATCATATTCACCTCTTCCAAATTTTGTGTTTTAGTTTCTTTTCCAACCCATCAAGTCCAGTATGTGTCTTCCCTACACTCCCAACTTTGTGTCTTAATTTGTTTTCCAACCCATCTAATCCAGTATGTGCTTCCCATATATTCTGAATGCCTGGCCTTCCCCTGGAGCCTGGTCAGCTTACTGTAGGCTCTTAAAGAAAAAACGTGTTCCTACTCTCAGAGCAGCTATCAGTAGCCAGCAGCTCCTCAGCTGGGCATAGGAACTCATGTTCACATCCCCTTTCCATGCTGGGGTTTGACCTGGTTTGAGCATGCAGGAGGCTGGTGTGTGCAGACAAAATGTTTGAGTTCATTATGTGCAGTTGCCCTGTTGTGTGTGGAGGAAATGAGAACAAGATAGCAAAAGCTTCAAGACTTGTAGAAGAAGATTATAGCTTTTCTTAGGTAAAGTGTAGCTGTTTTGTTTTGTTTTGTTTTGTTTGAGTTGTGAGGGTACTTAATGGCAGTTCTCTGAAGTTTTTATATTTTTGGAAATAATGTATGAGAAATACTTAGGCATCTGTTTCCATTTTTAGACTGGGCCGGCTTAGATGAAGATGAAGATGCACATGTCTGGGAGGATAATTGGGATGATGACAATGTAGAAGATGACTTCTCCAATCAGCTACGGTAGGTTTTCAGCCAGATGTTTATTTAAAGCTCAGTATTGGTTTTTAAACATGGAATGTACAGCTTACATAGATAGTTGTCCAACTAAAACTTTTGAGATGATTCTTTCATTATGTAAAATGATGTACCTTCACCCTTTGGATTTCTAAAGGGGAGTATTTTAGGAAATTGCATATGACTTTTGTTCCTTCTAAAAAGGTAGTTAAATAGAAGCATGGTTACCATTTTCATGAACTTAATCCTCTCAACATTTCAACCAGAATTGAATAACTGGGCAGAAATTAGAATCATAGAACTAATTGGGGAACTCAATTAGTGATTCTCAAATTAGTGATTATAGTAGTCTACTTAATTGTATTCAAGTATAAATTCTCCTAACTTGCAGTTCCGGACATTTCTTACGAATGTTATTATACAAGATATGTCCTTGTGTATCTAGCGTCTTCCACTTAGCATAGTCTTTCCCAAATTCAGAAATCTAGTAGCATATAGAAGTACATTATTCTTTTTCATAACCCAATAATTCTCTAATGTAGGCTATACCATATTTTCTGTATCTGTCAGTTTGGAAACATTTCTACTTTTTATATGCTTTGAATAGTGTACAGCAAATAAAAACATATTTGCGTATATCTGAGTACCTATTTTCAGGTTCAGGGAATATAAAGTGACATTTCTGGGTGTATTGGTAATTCTCTGTTTTAACTTTTTGAAGAACTGTCAAACTTGTCTGTAGTCATTGAAAAGTTTTCCTTCCCAGTAGCAATGGTAAAACATGATATTGTTCATTTATTTATTTTTAAATGTAGCCATTGTGTAAGTGAAGACTATATAAAGCACTATCTCCTTGTAACTTCAATTTTAATTTCTCTAGTGACGATGTTTTTGTGTGTTTCTTGACCATATGTATCATTTTGGGTGAAGGGGAATCTGTTCAAGTCCTCTCTCCATTTTTAAATTGGGCTTTTTGTTGTTTTCCTGTGAGACTACTTTATATATATTCTTGGTGTTAAACTTTGTCAGATACTCTGTTAGGTCACCTTTTTCACTTTGTTATGTCATTTGCAACCTTTTAAATTTTGGTGGTCAAATTTATTTTTTCTTTTGCTACTTAAACTTTTGGTATCAGATTTAGGAACTCATTACCAAATTCAAGATAATAAGATGTATTCCTATTCCTGTGTCTTTCTGGAGGAATTTGATAGCTTAGCTCTTTTAGGTTGAGCATTTTGAATGAATTTTTGCATATGATGTGGGTATAATTTATTATATGTGACAAATCCAGGCTTTCTAACACCATTGTTGAACAGGAACTAGTTTCCTTCCTGTATATAGCAGTTATGCTTGAGATGTTTGTATTAGTTGGTGAAATTTTGATATTGATGTGAACTTTGTATATCTCAAAATTTTGTTGATTTTTCTAAAGATACAGCTGAAGAGTAAATAGTGTGTCTACTTTGCATGCATGAGGCACTGATTTTAGTCCTGATCACCACCTAAACAAATAGCCTAACAGAAACTTACATTTAGGGGTTGGGAAGATGGTCTAGACATGTTGCTCTGGGGGGGACCCAGATTGAATTTCTAGCACCTACCCACATGGTAGCTTACAGCCATTCAGCACCCTCTTCTGGCTTCCGTGGGCAGAAGGCACACAGACAGTACACACGGGTGCATGCAGGCATGCATACACATTAAATAAGTCTAAAAGGGTATTTAAACTAAATTTAGCTACACATTAGAAATAGGACATTAGTGTAGTACATGCAAGGTTCTTGGAGGATAGTAGAAAGTCTCATATGAACATTAATGAAAATAAAATTAGAGGAATAACATTTTTTAATTATTATATTGACTTATACCAAATTTCCTTCCTATGGTTTCATTTTAGGGACTAAAATAAAGCTATTTGGTACTGTTCTAAGGTAGTGACCAAGCTTGAGTTATTTATTCTGTATGCCTTAGAAACAGCTGTTTTCTTGTTTTCAGAAAGAATGCTCATGCTGTTCTTTGTCTTGTGTTTCAGTGCTGAGCTAGAGAAGCATGGCTACAAGATGGAAACTTCATAGCATCCAGAAATGTTGCAAGACCTTAAACATGGACTGTGTACTAAATTCTAGGACAGAAACGAGCATGGGCTACTTTGAAGAATAAATTTATTTCATTATCTGCTCGGATTTATTTTTATTTATAACAAAATAAAGAAATGTTTTGATCTAATCTTTTTGGCTCAGATGTCTTGATCTTTTGCCTCTACTCCTTTATATTCATGATTTTTCAATAAACTTATTATATTGACACAGTAAAAGTCCACATTATGAAAATTTTAATATTAATTGAGGCTCAAGCAATCAGATGTTGGGATTCATCAGTTCTCCAGATCAGCACCTTTCTTGAGCCACATCAATGAAATATCCATCCAATTTTACCAGCTACTTCTTTTATATCACATTAACCTTTAATGTCTTATTGTTGTGATAGTGTAGGCAACATTTACTAAAATTTATAAGGAAAGTCTTTAAAACCTGTGTTTTAAAAATATTAATCATTTTAAATGTCTGTAATTTACTTAGTTCTAAGCCATCCATAATGTTATTAGTGGTTGGTAAAGTCTGTTGGCTATTTGGCCACAGTTCTAAGAATAATACCTCTGTTAAAATTGGGAAAGTAGGCTCAAGATTCTTTGACAGCATGGCTGTATTCTCAGCTACTGCATACATTGCTTCCACACAACATAGTTTCTAGAAATTTATTACTGTTGTTATACCTAGTGTTTGAGTGGAAGATTTAGTTTGGTGTGTATAGGACTCTTTGAAACTGGCAAATGATGGAATGGAATAAAGAACAAAGAAGAATTTGGACAGAGTATAAATGCCCTATACATGTAGCTGGTATTTTTTGCCAAAGTGGTGTACAGTGGTTGGTCATGTCTTGCCTGTTACTTCAATACTGCTCAGTCAGCACACACAGTTCTCCCCCAGCAGCTCCTGCACTGGCTAGCAGTCCCAGCCTGCTTGCTCCATGAACTGCAATGTTTTCTGCAGTGGAGACTTACTGTCTGGTTCTCATATGCAACCATTAACCAGCAATAGCCATGACAGTTTCTAGGTCATGGGCTTTCATGGCCAATAACTAACTCAGAAATGTGGCCCACTTCTAACACACTGGTTTTCACTCAACTGCTGAATGGCTGCAGAGAATACCCTTTCCACTTCGAGTTTCTGTTCAGATGCCTTAGTTGCTCTTTTTACTGTCTTTCCAGGTGCTTTTCCAAACCTCTAAGGTGCTCAAGGTTCAGCATAATATAATGGAACCTGTTTACAGATCCTGCTAATAACATGTTGAGGAAACAGCTACTCTGCGATTCTTCATAGGATGCCCTTTTCTGTGGTGGCTTAAAGTTGTGTATCTACCCCTTACCAGAAGCATGTACATTCTCCCATACCACATGGGAAGAGACAGCTGTTGGTAGTGTCCCTGTGTATACTCCACCCTCAAGCAGATCAGCCTCAGTTGCATACCTCAGCATCCTTTTAGGAGCCATGCAACCACTCCCCTCTAATTCATCTTTGGATTTATTTCTTATTTGTCTTAGTTTGTACTGCATTAAAAAAAAAAAAAACAAGGATACCATATGCTTCTACCCTTGGCCCTTTCTAAGAGGCAATATATTCCTCCATTTAGGCCAGTGGTCCTCAACCTTTGGGTCATAACCCCTTTAAGTGTCAAATGACCCTTTCACAGGGGTCACCTAAGACCATCAGAAAGCCCAGATGTTTATGTTATGATTGAGGACAGCAAAGTTAGTTATGGGCTAGCAATGAAAATTATGTTTGGGGTCACCACAACATGAACTGTACTAAGGGATTGTAGCATTAGGAAGGCTGAGAAGCACTGCTTTATGTAGAAAATGGTCAATGTGTAGTATCCTCAGTCCACTGTGACATTAGAGATTGGTTTTGGATCTACTAGCTACTTAATGTGTCTTGAACACTTACCTCTAAATCCTAGTTTGCATCTAGCCTGCCCTGAGTTTATTCTTTTCTGTATTCATGTATTTTCTAGTAATCTCATAGTGTATCAGTTGCTTTCCAAAGTATATATATGTATGATTTCAGATCTGATTCCAGTTCTGGCCTGTCCCTAAAACTCTAACTCCATCTACTAACTTGACTGCCTGTAAATTGTAAATTGACCAAAGAGCATCTTCAAATTAACTTGGTGAAAACTGAAAAACAGAAGCCTTGATTATCCTTCTCAAACTTGCTACTTCACCCAGCCTTGCCTATCTCATCTTTCTATCCAATCATCAAAGGCCAAATTGTAAGACCTGCCTTATGTTTTGTTTCCTGAAATACCCCAAATTTTGTCAGCTCTTCCCTTCTTGCCATTGATTGCCATCTTGTCTACTCAGTCTCCATTGCTATCCCTTTTCATCAGGATCCTACTTCCCCTCTTCTGATGGCCATTCTTCTTTCACATGTGGCCAGGGAAAACACATACCACTCCTAGGTCAGGGTGGGCTCTGCTTAATCTTCAGCTAGTCCTAGTAACTCTTTCTCCCTTGGAAATGATTGAAAAAGAGGTGGGCAAATGTCAAGAATTTTCAAACAGTGAAACTATGAGGCTGTAATATTCTGGAGAAGAGGAAACCTGCAACATGCAATAGCCTCCCAAATCCTCTCCCTCCGGATGTAAATACAGAAGTGTGGAGCCCTAATTGCCACAGCCTTCTAGAAAGCAGTTTTAGGTTATAGGGTCGGGTACTCAGAAGCTTCGAAAAACAAGATTCTAGGCAGGCAAGATGGCTCGTCAGGGAAAGGCACTTACTACCAAGTCTGACAAATTATCTGTGGATCCCATATGTATGTCCATACGTGTACCATAGCACTCAATAAAAACGAACAGGTTTAGTGGATAGCACTGAGCCTGCCCTATGTCTGACGTCCTGTACAATGAGTCTATAGGTTTTATTTCAGACCCTGATGTTAGCTGTTTAACCAGAAACATTTTAACCAGCATATTCAGAACCAATGCACAATTACCCGTATCCCAGTCAAACCATTGCTCACAGGATCCTACTAAACTGATGATAACCAAGCGGGTCTGTCTACTACTTGTTCTCTCTTATCTGCTTGGGATAAATGGAATCTTGAAATTTAGATGTTATCCTTTCCCACAAGGCTTCATACATCCTCAGTTTAGGTGAATCTTCTCCACCTTCTCCCACATCCCTCTCCCCCACCCCCCTTAAACCTTTAGCAATTTGTACTGCCCTTCCAGTTCTGCGTGATCTACTTGAGTTACAATATATGGCTTTTCATGCATGCTTCATTTGACAGCGGAAGCAAGGGAAGATAGCTTCTTCACCTAGATGACTGCTAGGGAGTCTTGCAGCTTTCCTTGGCGAGGATGATAGGGTATAGGGAGGACCAATAGCGTTCTTTCAGTACACCAAACCTTAAAAATTCTAGATTCTCTGCCAGCATGGTGGGGTATCCAGGATTCTGGAGACTGAGGCAGAGGGGTCACAAGTTAAAGGCCAACTAAGCTACATAGCTTGACCCTGTTTCAAATATATATATATTTTCCAGGTTGTTATCTTACCTGAGCCAGTACAGCCAGTACATCTCCATCGACAGTGTAACTTTGTCCTTGTCCTTTTTCTCTCAGTGCTTTGCTTACAATATTTTCCATTGGTCCCCTTTTAGACAAATCCTTACATATAGAGTCCTTATTGGGTTCATCTTTAAATCCCCTTGCCTTCGTTTCTCTTCTCTCAAAAGTAGGATTGTAGATGGGGAAGGAAATTTTTCTGGTTTATTTCAAAGATGACAGGAGGGAAGAAAAGTGAGGTAGGAAAGAAGAAAACTGACTATGTCCATCAAGTAACCATTGGGCAACTTGACCTCATTGCCATTTGGGTGCTCTGGAAAGGTATACACACCACCCTTTGCCATTACCGCTTCCAAGCAGTATGAGAGCCAGGTAAGGAAACTTCATTATCCCCTGGTGTGGGCCATGTACAGAAGAATGACTACTGGCTACCAGGATGTTCAAAGTTATAGTTTCTACGGTTGGAAATGAAGGTGCTTAGCCCAGAAGTAAAAAAAGAAATGCAAATCAGAGTGGGACACCAATTAGAATGTGCACAGCCCTATAGTGTACTTGCTTGTCTTGCATACCTATTAGAAAGTGAATTTTGATCACTTACAAATCCAATTTTGTAATTTTCTCATTGTCTAACTTGGACCACTGATCAAAAGAGATAGTTTGCAGAGTCAGCATAGAACAGACAAGAAGCAGGGACCCTTTGTGACAGAGATGGCATTGCCTGCCCTCTTACCTGTGTAGATACTATATGTCCATTTATTAAGCCATTTCATACCTAATTGGCTATGCCTGGATAATTTAAAACTTACACCAGTCAAAAAATGGTTAGTAGACTCACTAATGGCTAAGAAGTATGCTTTTCTGTTTCTGTGCGTGATGAAATATCTTCCAAAAATATCTTTATAGCTTTTTACTCTGACTAAAATATGGCATCATTAAAGCTCAGTAATGATGAAGTAAATTGAGCACGTGAATCGTGTTTATATTTTCAAGACTAATTTCTAATTTAAGGTGAAACTATGTACCTTTCCCTACATTAGTGTTTGTAAATAAAGATGGCTAATGTATATGTCTGAGCCTTTGAAAGCTCACACTGGTTTGTGTTTGGCATTTTATGTGTGAAACCCACAGTAAAGTTTATATCCTCATGTGTGACGATATCTCCAAGTAGAGGAGTAGACAGAGCATTGATTTATAAGCAAAGCTATACACTGCTAAGGCCGAGAAAGCCATCACTGCTAGGTACAGAGACAGCAGCAGTCTGCCTTTACGTTACTTCGTATTTTTCAATAAGTTCCCCTTTGGTGATTGCAAAAAGACATATGCTAAATCATTTTGGCTTTACATACATAGACATCATTCCTCTGAAGGAGGACTGTTAAAATCATACAAAAACAAAAAAACAAAAAAAAAAACCCGGCTAAAATTATCAAAAAAAAAAACCCTAAATGTAAAAGCTAATGACATGTATTAAAAGGTTTCTTTATATTTCATAGTTCGGTTTGTTAAACAAGTCTGGTAAACACATAGAACCTGAATTCATATTTAAAACAATATTCTACACATTCTTAATAATGTAGAGGATTGGTTACTGGGTTTTTTTTTTA